CAGTAAACAGGTAATACTAAGTATAAAATGAGATAAGCCACATATTCAGAAGAGATATATCTAACCTGACTCTACCATCACAAAAACCTTATGTGCCTCCATGTCCTCAAACATGAAAATACCTTTTTTTGACTGTAAGATTCAGTCTCTTCATTTATGTCAATTTTAATACATCAAATACCACCAACAGTCCTGAATTTCTATTTTGGCATTTATTAATGTATTTATTTTCTTACAATTGTTGTTCAATGTAAGACCCCTCAGGTACAGTCCCTATAGTTCTCCCAGCATGTTTTGGCTTTTTACTTGACTGTTCAGCTTGTACACCACGGTTACCCACTATCCTAATATGCCCCCTCATTCCCTTCTCCCTTCTTCTATCCACAGCTTCCCTCACTACCATTTTTGTTAAAATAAATCACTGATATTGATCCTTGGTTACTAATTAGGGGTATGTAAATATCTGGTAGAACAAGCCTGAGAGATGTCACTGATTAAGTTAGACATGATCCCTGCCTTTATAAAGCTTACATTCTAGTAGGAGAGTCAAATCAGACACTTAAATGTCAAAGACAATCCAGAATTAAGGGTTATAATAAGTGCAGCAGGGTAAATAAACAGGGTACTTTGACAAAGAAGAGGAGGAACTGAATTTTTAGCCAGGGTAATTATCAACAAAAAGCAAAGGAAAAACACTAGAAAGAAGAAAAGCAAACAAAGGCACAGGTCCTGGAATAAGATAGAGCTTGGATTTGTTTCAGAAACAAACAGGCCAGGGTGGCTAAAGTGAATGAGGAGAAAGTTAACAGGAAATGAGAGAGAAGTAGGGGCAGGATCAGGAAGGATACTGAAGGACTTACAATGACTTTAGATTATATTCCATGTACAATGGGAAGCCACTGAAGGACACATCAGGAGACTGGCATAATCTAATTTAGTCTTTAAAAAAAGATTATTCCAGTTGCTGTGTGTGGAATGGGCTGAAAGAGGGCAAGCAATGAGACCAGTTAAAAGGCCACTATAGTTGCCCAGGCAACAGATGGTGACTTAGATTACAGAGGAAGAGTAGAGACAGAGAGAGCTGTTTGTGTTCAAGAGCCATTATGGCAGTGTCATCTACTGAAACAGGGATAACAAAATTCTTGATCTTCTTCATTCTTTTTCTGTCCTGAAAGCTGGATATATCAGTAGATAGAACCACCACTGACATGAATACATAAACCAAAAACTGGGGATCCAGGGTTATCTGTTTCTTTCCTTTACCTTCGTGCCTAATCCATAAGCAAATCATTTTTCTTCTTCTATACTTCCAAAATCTCTCCCAAATCCATCTTTTTATCTTCATAGAGCTATAACTCTCTAGTACAAGCCGCCATAGCCATGACTAGAACTATTACAGTAGCTTTCCAACTGAGCCCTCTGTTTAAAACATTTATTAGGGCCTCCTTGGTGGCACAGGGGTTAAAGTCTAAGTGCTATCATGCACTTTCTGCAGCATGAGTTTGATCCCCAGCCAGGGAATGCAGCAGACCTCTCCTATCATGTCCACTGCTTCCCTCAGCAGTGTATTTCTGTACATCTGCCTGTTCTACTCCCCACTCTGTTTCTGGTGAGTCCTCTGGCCCTCTCCCCAGCCCCCTGCACTGCTGGCCTAGACCCCAGCTCTTGCTTGCATAAATCTTTAAAACATTTATCAGTCACCTGCTTTATTTACAATTAGAAAAACATGGAAGCAGCCCAAATGCCCAAAAATAGATGACTGGATTAGAAAGATGTGGTACATATATACAATGGAATATTACTCAGCAACAAAAAAAAGAAACACATGTCTTTTGTAGCAACTTGGATGGAGCTGGAAAAGATCATGCTTAGTGAGATAAGCCAAAAAGAGAAAGAAAAATATCGGATGGTTTTGCTCATAGCAGGAGTATAATGGACCAGGTGAGAAAATAATAAGAATAATGAACAGCCATATACCAGAGACATTTTGTGGGGGTGGAGTGGGGAATGGGATCAAAAGGGGGGGGGAGTGCACAGGACTATGGTGATGGCACACGGGTGACTCTCGGTGATGGGAAACCCATGGGGAGTACAATTGAAATGAAAAAAAAAAATGTACAAAATGATGTAAAAATAAACTATTATATTATAAAAAAACCCAAAAAACATGTATCAGTCATCCAAGCAGATATGTGAAATAGACAATTGGATCTGTGATTCTGTAGCTCCAAAGTAAGAAGACCAAGATATAAGTTTGGGAACCAGATGTATACAGATACTGCTTAAAGTCACAGAACTGGATGAAATCATCCTAGCGGCAGGAGAGGGAAAAGAAATGAGTTTAGTACCATGCCAGGTTACATTACCTGAGATGGACTTAAGGAAGAAAATCCAGTCAAAGTTAGAAGGCATAACAGACTCTCTGAATTCCATTTTTCTCAGTCTTTATCTTCCTGAGCCCAAAAAAGCACCCTCACCTAGAAAAAACACCCTATAACAGTCATATTCTTAACTCCATATATCTAGTTGCTCCCTTCCTAGTTCCTTTACTGGTTCTTCTATCACCTAGCACTGAAATTCACATTCCTGTATTACTCTGTGTATGTATGAGTGTGTGTACTTACAAGTATTAAACATACATTTCTCCTCAAAGATCTTACCCACTAATACAGTTTCAACTATCAACTCTATACTAAGAACTTCCACATACCTAGCTAAGTCTTAAAGTATTGTCCATTGGTCAGGACTTCAGAATCAATAGAAAACACAGATTATTGAACCCCACTCCAGATTTATAAAATTAGTCTCCTAATAATTCTTAAGCAGTGGCTTTTATAAATATTCAATCATCCATAGTTAATATTTTACTCTAACCTCCTGTTAGGTGATATTCATGCTTGTGACAGCAATTTGACAGAAAAATAACACGGGGGTCTCAGCAGGAAATCTGATTTAAGGGTATCAGAAACTATAATCATGGAAAAGACTAATGGATTTGGTAAAAGGTAAATATGTCACTGTCCTATATTTGTAATTTTTATTTTCACTGCTTCCCAGTGATGATTTAAAATACAAATCATTCAAATGGAAAAGAATCCCTGAGTTTGTTTGTTTAGAAGCTTTAAAAGAGAAAAAAATAAAAAAGGAAAGTAGGAAGATATCTGGAGTCAGGAAGATAAGAGATCCAAGCCAAATCAGCAATTGTGGGGACTCAATGAGCAACACTCTATCCCTATTTTGTATTAAAGCTCTTTTGGGGCTCCCTGGTGGCACAGTGGTTAAAGTTTCAGTGCTATCAAGCTATGGTCAGCCACTGAGGCATGAGTTCAGTTCCCAGCCAGGACCACATAGCACAGCAGACTTCTCCTGTCTCACAGGCTGCTACCCTTAGCAGTATGCTTCAGTAGCTCCACCTGTTCTGCTCCCCACTCTGCAAGTACTCTCACCTCCTACCTCTGGCCTATACCCCAGTTCTTCCATGCATAAGTCAATAAAAATAAATCTTAAAAAAAAGTCTTTCAGCACCTATCTTAACTGTGTCACTAGAATGTGAATTCCCTGAGGCTATTACAGTTGCCTTTGCATCTACCTATTACTTTGCAACATCCAAAGTCTTGCTCAAGATTTCTTGAAATGTTTATCTTATAAATTCTAGCTCAATTCCTGGATCGTTAACTCCAATTCCAAGTCAGTGGAATCCAGATGGATGAGTTTTACTATACCACCCGGAAGGTATTTATATATCAAAGCTTTAAATGAACATAGTCATTTGGCATCGCAAAATTACAGTACCTTCAACCACAGCACACAGTTTCCCCATTCCTTCTAAGATGTAAAATGCACATGCTACCTACCATTAAGACCAGATGTTTCAGCTGCTTCTAAACTTTCTGTCTTCTTGTTTCCTATCATCTCAAAGAGATGTTTCCTCCTTCATTAGCAACAGAGAAGTGAGTTTGAACTGTTGTCTGGGATAGAGGGTGATTCCAAGGAATGCCATAATTGTGGCAAAGCCCTTATTCCAACTCCCTAACTTATTTCTATCTCCCAGCCAGTCTCTCCAGTCCCAGGGTTGAGACTTATTTCTGCAGGTCTTTCTGTTCTTCCATAAAACAATGCTCAAATGTCTGCAGGGCTAAAATAGGTTTAGAATGCTTTTATTACAAATACAAGCCAAGGAAGCTCCAGAAAAAGGTGTCTGTTCCACCACATCTATAAGCAGTAATAAAGGCAAACTAATAAAACTCATAACATCATGCAGTGATCACTATCTGAATATTTCTTATAAACCTCACCAGAAAAGGGGCCCATCCAGAACATTTGAAAACGTTGTCCCCCTAGTTTTTATTTCCTGGGTCTAGCCAAACTATTTATTCAATTTTGCTCATTATCTCTGCTTTCCCACTCTTTCAAATACAAGGGCAAAGTATTTCTCTGGCTACTGAAATGTCTAGAAGTCTCTTCTTCACCTTTACAAGGCAGCAGCAAATGACGGGTATCTCCACTGAAGATTAGGCCCACAGTTCCAAAGATACTACTAGAATGAAGGGCTACAATTCCTACACCCCTATCATGACACGAGTTGACAGCGACAGCATTCTCTGCCACTATCATGGCCCCACCCAGCCACCTATGCAATACAACAGTAGGTGCTGCGTCCAGGGTTCCTAACATCCAGAGGGGGATAGCACAGCATCTATGGGAAAATGGCTCTTCCTCCAACCCCACCTCGGCTCCCATACCAAATCATCTAATAGCATCATCAGTTCGTTTTACTTCAGGACAGAGACATGCTTGAACGCGTCAGGACTAACAAATGACAAAGTCATTATATTTCGCAGGCTTGGCCGCAGTAATGCTCGTGAAGACTAACTTTTATTTGGTGGCTTCCTTCCAGATCAATCCTTTCGTCTCCTCCTCCCCCGAGCCGCCATAAGGGGTGAAGCCCCACATCCTACCGAGCGGAGTAGAGAGGAACTGGGGGGACAAAAGGAACTTACAGATGCCAGTAGCTGAGGGTTCTGGGGCAACTCGGTGCTGACTTCCATCCTTTCTGCACCTCCGGCCTCCTCGTCCGCCATCTTGTGGGAAACTGACGCCCGCAGTTCCAGACCCCCGGCCGGAGACCAGCGGAAACCTGTGGCCAGTCCTAGAGGCTAGGGGAGATACTTTTACGACGGCCCCTGAGGTCGGCTTTGACGCAGAATCCAAGAGCGACTTCCGGTCCGCTTCCCGGAAGTAAGCGTCACGGCACTTTGCCTGAAGGAGTTTCTTCCCTTGTTTTCTTAGTCCTAGTGCGTGGTGGCTGAATGGTTGCATGTCTGGTTTCGGTGCTGGGAACTGTTGCATCGACGAGGTAAAAAATAAATTCAGCATCCATTATGAAACGAAGTAAACTGCTAGGGGCTAGAAGAGAACCTGTTCTGAGTCTCATTCTGGGCTGGTTGTTGGTATTGGGTATTTTGTCTCCCCACGTAATTACATTGGTTTCCCAGAGCCCACAAATGGGAAACAAGGAAAAAAAAAAACCTTAAAAACTAACCTTTTAAAAAGAAATGCAGCTGTTGAGCTCTTGCACATGCGCAGAAGGGTTGTGCACCCCAGCTTTTGTGGGGAGTGGTAGTGAAGAAACAATGAAAATTTGGAAACCTGTCATTTCACCGGCAGAGGAAAAATAAACTGGTAGATGCGTTTTATGGAACACAATGCAATTCCTATAAAGAACACAATTATGTAAGAAGAAAACGACTTCATGCGCGGGGATGGGAGGAACATGTTCTACAAAATATATTTTCTATTAATGTACATTCAAATGAGAAGGAATCTGACCAGAAAAAGAACAAACTAATAGCAGCTCTAAGAGTCAGGAGAGAAGGAAGTTGGTCAAAAGCTATTTTTTAACTTGATCTGTGTTAAGTTGTTTACAAAAATAGATCATTTTAATAAAGGCAACGGAATAGTAAAACGCCTGACATTCTGGAAAAAATAGTAAGCATTTGGGAAAAGATTGTCAGATTTTCCCCTCAATTCTTATCAAAAGAATTCTTAATTGAAAAGTTAACTGCTTGGGGAAAAAAGTAAGTAGATACTTGTATAGTGTTGGGATGAAGAAGGCTTGACACCAGAGGCAGAAAATACAGAAAGACTAATATGTAAATTTCATCAGAATTTACGTGGGGCAGGGGCCTCCCTGGTGGCACAAGAGGTTGGGTCTCAGCAATATGAAGCTGTCTGTTGGCAGCCACCACCGCAACACAAGTCCCATCCCTGGCCAGGTAACTGACCCACAAGGCCAGCAGACCTCTCCTGTCTTGCTGGTTGGTCCCCTCAGCAGTGTACTTCAGTCCAGTCCAGTCAGTCTCCAGTGAGTCCTCTCACAGACCCGACCCTCACCTCTGGCCAATACCGCCGCTCTTGTATGCATAGATAAAATTATGGGAGGAAAATTTAAACATGTATCACAAGAACAGACTTTTTAAAGTTAAAAAGTAACAACACTGGAATGTTTTGTATTGTCTGTAACACACATAATGGACTGAGGATAAAATCTAAAAGACTAGTTCAATAGAAAAGATGGGCAAAATACATAAATACTTATCTCACCAATTTTATAGAACAACTTAATGGGTAAGCTAATTAAACAAACAAAACAACAGGGTACAACTTAAAGTCTGTGAATTTTTCTCCCTTAAAGATAATAGCCATCACTTAGTAAGAAAGTGGAAGGATTTTCCCATTTGGCTTTGTAGAAGTATAAATCGGTAAATGTACAGAACAAATGTGGCAGTACTCAGAAGCTTTTTTTTTTTTTAATGCATACTCTGGCCCAGTAATTCCACTTCAAAGAATATATTTTAGAGAAACAATTTACCACATTAGTGGTGTTTTAACTACTTCATTGGTAATGGGGTAAAATTAGAAACAATTCAAGTTTTCAGTAATAAAGAACATTAACTAAATAAGTCATTCATACAATGTGATATTTTGTAACCACAAAAAGATGTAGCTTCTCAAAGTGTCATTCTCTGACCTGAAATTCCACAGACTTCCTGCGGTTTTTATCTGTTAATCTTAATGTCTATGGTAAAGTAGTAAAAACTTACTAGTTTTTTTAAAAAATCTTAGCCTGTGAGTCTTTTAAATAAATATCAATACTCTGATAAAATGACAAGCACACAGATTATTTTTACAGTAGTATAATGTTTCACTGTGGATAACCACTACTGTGATTGAGATGCCAGCTGAACCAGAACCTTTTTTCAGGAAACACCATTTTTACTTGAAAGAACAGTTGACAGATACCTGAGGGTTACTCAGTCTTAGGTACTTGGAAAGCTTTTCTCAGTATAAATGTCTTTTTTTTCTAGGAAAATGCCTAACAGTTTTTATTTTTTAAAGGTTTATTCATGTATGTGTACAGAATTGGGGTACAGGACAAAGGTGTGGGTGTGGGTGGGGGTGGTGAGAGGATTCACCAGAGACAGAGTGGTGAGCAGAATAGACTCTTGTATTGAAATACACTGCTGAGGGGAGCAGCAGGCAGGTCAGGAGGTCTGCCACAGTATATAGGTCAATTCTCCAGCCTGTATTAAACTCATGCTGCAGAGGCTGCAATAGATTCATAGTGTTGTGTTTTAACCTCTTGCACCACCAGAGAGGATCCAAATTTTTATTTATTATTTAGTTTTTTTTAAGGGTTTTTTGTTTGTTTTACAGATTTATTTATTTATTCGTATAGAACTGGGGTACAGGCCAGAGATGCGGAGGGTGAGAGAATTCACCAGACACAGAGTGGGAAGTGAACAGGCAGATCAATGAAGTACACTGCTGCGGGGAGCAGCGGGCAGTTCAGGAGAGGTCTGCCACACCATGTGGTCACCTCCAGGGCAGGCGGGGATGGAAAGGCAGGGATCGAACTCATGCAGAAGTGGCTTAAGCTTCTTAGTGCTGTGCTTTAACCCGCTGTGCCACAGGGAGGGCCCAATTTTTACTTTTTATAATATAAAATTTTAGCTTTCAAGTGAACTTTTTGTAGAAAACATATCTGCTACTGTGAGTTTGACAAAAATTGGTGACAAAACACGTGAATTTTTTAAAATGATATAACAGTTTATTTTTACATCATTTTGTACATTTTTTTTCCATCTCAGTTGTAACCCCTGTGGGTTTTCCATCACTGAGTCACCCAAAAACACGTGAATTTTTTAATATTGCATCATGAAATGTAGTGACATTTGGAAGAGCTATATAATTCAGTGAAACGGTATTTTCTGATATTTTATTTCATTTCCATATAACAAATACAGGCTGTTACAAAATCAAATAGAGTAAGATATTCCTTCTCATAGCTAAATAGATCAATGAAATTTAATGCTTACACAGTACAAACATTTCATTGATGTTTTCAGATTCCACATTGATCTTGTAGATTTTATTATTTGACCAGTTCTGATGTGGATACAAAGAATATTTCAGCTATCTTAAATGCTATTAAGACGCTCTTTTCCTTTTTCAACTCTATCTGTGGGAGGACAGATTGTCTTCATGTACTTTAGCTGAAACAATATATCACAATAGATTGAAAATCAAAGCAGATATGAGAGCCTGTCTCATGTTAAACAACACATTAAAAGATTTGTAGGGCCCTCCCTGGTGGCGCAGCTGGTTAAAGCACAGCACTAAGAAGCTTAAGCCACCTCTGCATGAATTCGATCCCCGCCTGCCCCGGAGGTGGCCACATGGCGTGGC